TCGACTCCGCCATCAACTTATTGAACGGCCAATTGGCCAGAGATGCCGGCGCTCTTCAGGCCAATGACCAGAATCGGGACTTTTCGCTGTCGAGAGTGCCCTTCTTGGAGCAAATCGAGGAAATGCTCAAATTGGTTCAGAAACAGATCACCGGTATATTCATTACACATATATTATATAATACTTTTCATTTGAAATACGTTCACTTGATTTGTCAAAACAGATGTGTCGTCGACAGTGACCCGAGCGCTGACGGGCGGTCTGGACCTGAAGGGAACCGCCGCCGAAGAGCAGAATAAGGATCTGAACGGCGGTGTCATGTCTCAGGTGCCGTTCATCAAGGAGTTCGAGGAATATCTGGAGCTGTTCCAGAAGCAGATCAACCGATTCGGCGGAACCGTTCAGCGAATCATTCAGGGAGGACAGGGTATCCGACAGGGATCTTAAGATATGTCACCACAAATACAATTAGACACACAATTATCTCCGCTTTTTAGTATTATTTTTTCAAAATTTTTTTACCTAAATCTCTGTGCAAAACATTATTTTCCCCCATTTTATTAGCAATTAATTAGCTTTACTTCAAAATACTTCAGCTTTTTTAACGTTTGTTTTTATGTGTTTTATTTAATTTAAGTATAAATTTTGTTTATTTTTAGTTTTGTTTATTAATTGTTTAAAATTTTGATTGATTTTTTCAAATTTACTTATGTTTCGTATAACTCAAGCATAACTTACAGGTCTATGAATTGTATACAAAAAATTAATGATTAATATATAATAAAACAGATTTGTATTTAAATAACATTGAAATTAAAAAATTACTGATTTATTAATTGAATTAAATATTTAAATTTTAAACTGATTTACAAATCAATGCCTTTTCTCAACACATCTTAAAGTACGGCTAAAAACAGCCAAAAACTTATAAAAAACTTTAGTTTTTGCAGTAAAAACACATCATTTTTGTACTACTATTACATATACAGTGGCACTCATTATAAGTGATTGCACTTTAAATTGGGTTTAATTTTACATATAATTTAAATTTGAAATTAATATTTAAATAAATCACACGTTTATTGATGTATAGTATCTGTCAATATAGTGTACATCCGTTATAATGAACACATAAAGCGCGAGGAGTTATAGCGAGAGTCGACTGTATTGTGTTGTGTTGTGTTGACTGTTGTAAAGCATTGCAGCGTTTCATCAGATGTTTGCCTCAAAACTCACATTCAATTCAAACCATTGTTTGAATTGTTATTCAATTTCCAACTCTTTATTATCACTCAAACGCTTCCCAAACACTTCTTAAGCCATGTTTGATGGCATCGACTCCGGAGGCGATGATAATCACGTCGACGAAGACTTCTACGCCTTTCTCAATGTCTCCAAACAGGTCTCCAATCGCTGGCTTACCATTGATTGTCTCGTTTTAACCCATTATCTGATCCAATGATAGGCGACCGACGAAGAGATCACTCGCGCCTATAAAGCGATGTCTAAAAGACTACATCCGGACAAACACTTGGATCCGGAGCTCAAGAAAGAGGCGGAGATTCTGTTCAATAAAGTGAAGAAAGCATACGATGGTTGGCATCAACTCATCCAACGATACCGTCGATGACCGCAATTAATATCTGCTTTTCTGTCTCCCAATCAGTGCTAAAAGATCCGCATTTGAGAGCCATTTACGACACAATCGGTACTAAAGGTCTGGAAACCGAGGGATGGGTTTTGATGGAGAAGAAGCGATCGCCGCAAGAGATACGAGAAGAATACGAACGACTGATCCGCGAGCGAGAGGACCGACTTCTTCAGCAGCGGACGAACCCTAAGGGCAATATCAGTGTCCAAATCAACGCCACCGACCTCTTCGACCACTACAACGACGACTGGGAGGGCGTCTACTGGCCGTCGATTGAAGTGTCGTCGATGTCTATCTCGCAATCGATTGACGCGCCGTTGACTTTGGCCGACACACTGACGCTCAGCGGGTCGTTGAGCAGCCATAACGGCACGGGTCAGGGAACTGTCGCCACATCACTGCGACGAGTCATCTCTGCCAAGACGTGGGCCGAAGTGGAGTTGGCTGCCGGTCAGGGGCCGGTCATTACACTCAAGGGGTTTCGCAATTTTACCAAAAAAATGCACTCAAACTGTAATGTTATGCTTCACTTCAGTCCCGTCGGCGTCCGTCCCGGCCTTCAATGCGGTATTGGTTTTGTTTGTTTTGTCATTCAATTGTGTTTTAATACTTTGTCTCTTTTTGTGATAGTATTGAGCCGTCATTTGGATAAGCATTTGATCGGTTATATAACGTTCAAAGCGGGTCTTCAGTCGTGCATAAACACGATGTTGGCCTGGGATGCAGAGCGCGCCCGCATTATATGCTCCGTTCAGTTGGGTTTTCCGCACTCTTTCCTAACCGCCAGTTATTTACATAAATTGCATGAAAACGACACTAAAATCAAAGTCGCAGTTAAGTTAGTATTAAATGTCATTTAAAGGGATTAATTAATTTTGTTAATTGTTTTGTTTGTTTTTTCCCACTTTGAAGGGCCGGTACTTTTGGTGCAGTGGTTGAGTACGGGTGCGAAACACGTCTCTCCAAACATAGTATAATCGGTGCCTCTATTTCTATAGGCGTTCCCTCAGGTGTTTCACTTCGGCTCAGGTTTTCATTAGAAATCAATTGAAATTATGTTTAAATTAATTGTTTTGTGATTTGATGTGACGTTAGGCTAAACCGCGCCAATCAGTCCTATATATTTCCGGTGCTCTTAAGCGACGAACTGTTGCCGAACGCCATCTTTTACGGAACCGTTGCACCACTTCTTGGTTTCTATTGTTTGAAGACATTTATTATAAACCCATATAATAGACGACAGACGGAGAAAGAGAAGGAAAGAGTGCGGACAAAGAACCGGACAAAACTGGTTGAGCGCCGGAAAGAGGCCCACAATGTGATCGAATTGATGAGAGAGTCGTTCAAAAGGATTGTCGACAGAGAGACTCAGAAGAAGGGTTTACTCATAACACGAGCTCTTTATGGGAATCGATTGGCGATCGAAAGACTGGAAGAGAGCGATGCGGACATCGATGAGGACGAGGAGGAGGTGTATGATGTGGTTTTGCCGCTTCAATGTCTGGTCAACAGTGACTCCACACTAACCATAACGGACTCAAGTAAAGGACAATTACCCGGATTTTACGACCCGTGTATTGGCGAAGACAAGCGACTCCTCATTAGGTATTCATACAATGATAACATCCATCAGATTGTTGTCGAAGACAACCAGTCGGTGAACATCCCATCAAAAGGTATATCTATTTAAAGCACTTGTCTTTCAATTATTATTTATTTTAATTTGTTTTAATTTCTCTATTTTTCATTTCTTTTCAGCGCATCTTATTATTAGTTAATTAACAAAATGTTATTTAATTTTTTAATTGAATTTAATTTTAGTTTATAATAAAAATCATATATTTGTGGATAAATTTTAGTCATTTAGAGTTGTGTTTAAAATAAGATATTATATTAATTTTGTACTCAATTAGTTGTTTAATAAATTATTGAATTAAAAACAATTTTTTAGTTAAATAAAATATTTGTCGTATAAATCACTTTACTGTAAAAAATATGAAGTAATAAATTAAATGTCAGTTTCAGATCTTAATTGAATGCTAGGCTTTCAGTTGTAAAGGTCTTTATAATGTGGTGTCTATTGCTGTAAATCGGGTCCTAACAATTGATCCCACATTTTCAGTGTTCAATGTTTTATATAAAAAGTTTTAATTTCAAATTACAAATACTATTTTCATTTATCAGACAATAGTTTAAGAGTTTGCAATGAAATGGCTATAAATCTGATTTCAATGTCGTTTATAATTACAAACTTGTAATTAAAACAAATGTTTCTTTATTTTGAGTACAATTAGCATTACATTCATTGACACATATTTTCTTGAATGACTTTCTCATCAATTGTTTATCATTTGTATTGAAAGTAATATTTAGTGAATTAATCCTTAGATTACTATAATATTCACACAATTAATAATTACAATCAAAAAAATTATATTAATATTCAAAACACATTGTATTTAAAGCAATGAATATGCGATTAAATAATAAAATAAGATCTCATTGAAAACTCTGTATAAATAATATAACGTTAAATACAATTAAACATATAATTACTAGCATTGGCTCAACAGTAAATTAATTAAAAAGTATATTTATATAATTTTATTTTAAAAACACCATATATTTAAATCCCAAACCATTTTTCTTATCATTCATTAGAACTTTAACTTCAAAAAGTGTTTAAAACTTTTTTACGTAGTTTTAAAACATGATTTGTGTGACAATTAATGTGTTATTTGTATCAATAATTTATATGATTATAAATGTATCACAAGTAGTGGTCAGTCAGCACCTGATCCCGGCGTCGGCGCTGAGCGAGGGCTGCATCGATGAGACGTGTCTGAAACAGTTGGGCCGCGACTCACGCCGAGTGTCCAAATGTTTTGAGCCGTTGCGGCAAACCATTGAGTTGAATGAGGAGACGGGTCTCACCACCTGTTGCTCTGTCCGCAAATACCAGAGCTGTATATTTCCGCTCATTATCTCAAACTGTGGTTTGGATTCAATGGACAAATTCGAGTCAGAGATGCGAAGTCTGAACTCCATCTGCTCTATGGTCACACTTTCGTGGGATAAATGCGAGCCAAAGAATGTTACCGTAGCTGATCCCGAGGGTTTATCACTTAAGGAGTAATAGACATCACCCCCTTTGGATCAATTGTCCGATTTACTTCCTAACCATTCATGTAATTTGTGTTTTAATTTTTTTTATTTGATTTAAATTTATCTTTTCGTGTATTTTGTAATATGTTTTATAGGTTTTGAACAAAAAAACTTACAATTCATTCAATTGATTTTTAATTTAATTTTTGATCTAAAAAAACTTTATCGACTTATCGTTTGTATAAATAAACTATATTTTATAACAAATAAAATTTACTGTACAATATATTTCTGAATTAATAAATAGCAAAAGTTAATGCAAAATATTAATTGTTTACACAATTATTACAATCAGATAAACCCAAAGCCAATAACATTTCACAAAAAACTCATTGACTTTTGATCTAAAAATTAAATTTTTAATACAAAGAGACAGAAAATGCTATTATTTAACGGAATTTTTAAATAACACTCAAATTAGTTTAGAAATAAATTCAGTTCTGGAGAGTTATGATAAAATTATTGCTAATATTTTTATCTACAATCATATTGGGGGGCAATTCTGGCCGTATATGTCGACCCAATTGGCTATCGATATATCAAAACTCGTGCATTTGTTGTCCCTGTATTCCTACTATTATTATACCCGTCGGTCCGCCAGTCCTGCCCCCAATTGGCCCTCCAATCGCACCACCAGTTGGGCCGCCAATTGTCACCGAAGGACCGCCGGGACCCCCACCACCGCCGCCGCCACCACCCGATGGAACGGCGGGCCCTCCCGTACCGCCACCGACAGTGGGTCCCACGGAAGTACCCCCACCCGTGCCTACCGCTCCCGTAACCTTAAGAAGTAGGTTTGGTTTATATGTATTTACTATGTTCTCAATGGCTTATAAATTGCAATCTAAACGATAGCCAATCAAAAGCAAACACTTAAGAGACGTAAAGCCAAACGACGACAAAGAGTGAATCCGAGGATAAAAAGACGAAGAGTTAAGTCAATCGCTTTATTATCTGGTTTTTAATATACTTTAATTTACTGTAAAATTAATGTTAATATTTTTAAATTGATTTATAGGGGAATAAAGCAAAGAAATTACATAATAATAGGAGACCTAACTTTGAGGGTTAAGTTCTTTCAAAATTAAAATTTTTATTGCAAATAGTGATCACATTTTACAAAATGTTTGATAAATTTGTTTTGTAAACTAACAGTAATATCATATTTAATTTTCAAAGAATACCCATTAAATTATACCATTGATTGTGTAATATATAGATTTTATCATCAGTTTTAAGCCCAGATATTCTGTAGACATAAATATTGGGTTGAATTACTATACTTTCCAATTCCTGTTTAACTTTTTTCTTTCTCATTGTTTTTAATATTGATTTCAAATTACTTGTACTTTAATTACATTTTATTGTCTGTATTTAAACTTAAATAATGTTATGTCGTTAATTTACAATAATTAAATACATGGATAGTGTGACCAGAAATACGGATATTTACACTAGTTTTGCCATCGATTTGTTGATTTAAGGATTTATGAGTCTATTTATTAAATTAAATTTAATGATAACTTGATTTCGTTGGTTTCGAGTGTCATGTCGTGCGGCAAACGGTTTACTCTGAATATCTAGGAAATTGATTTTTGCAATCATTTTGAGCTAAACTAATTATTGTTTAATCTTTCCGGAATTGGTTCACATTTGAGAGAGAGAGAGAGAGAGAGAGAGAGAGAGAGTTTAGAAATTAATAAAATTCAGGATTTTTGATATTATTTATGAAACTTTTAATAGATAATAAAGCATTATCGTTGTACAATTCACTGTAATGTATAAATGTGTTTTTAACTTCATGTAAATTATAAATTATAATTATAGCATTTAATAAAAGTTTAATAATTTGAAAATACATTGTTTACGATAATAAAATATTGCATTTACCAAATTACTGCAAAATATAATTGTATAAACAACAAAACAAAATAATCAATATAACACAACTTTTGTATGATTCCATAGAAATATCTATATAAAAACGTTTACCCTGCTAAACTTCTACATATTGTTTACATAGCATTCACTAACACATAAAAGTAAACGAATGTATGGTTTGTTTACCAGAATATAACAATATTCTTGTATATTAAATATTAGGTTCAGGTATTGTGACAGCAATTTGTGTCGACACACAAAACAGTAATAATCAATAAATATTTCACTACTCTATTCAATAAGACATCGATTTTACATGAAATACATGTGAAATACACTGTATGTCTGTAAACAACTTCACTCACAATAAGCTCTGTATTGAATGGGAAGGAAAGACCGGACTATTGATGGGTTGCGGAGGGGATGGGAAGACAGACACAGGGATTGTGTCATTAAGTAAATGCAATTTATATTAAGTTAGTATTATTGGCACAAATTGTGAGCATTGAATGCAATGATCGCTGAAAACAAAAATATCATTAATTTATTTCCGTCCGGTTGTGACACCAGAGGCTGCAGTTTAGGAATCCTCTGACCGGCACTCGTATGTAATACACAAACATTCAATATATTATACACGAGTGCTATGTTTAACAACCAATACATATCATAGTTATTGTATTTTTTACAAAGTCTTAAGAAATATCTTAATTTAAAACAAACACCAAATGAAACACAAAACAAGATTTTGTTTGAGAAGGACTTGAAGTTTATTTCAATTATTCTGTCCTTTAATGCATACAATACTATTTGGCCATAAATTTGTGTTAATATTTATTTATTATAAGTGTCTGACAAACAAATGTGTCATTTATGTGAATAAATAATTAATTAATTGCATAACTATTACATCCCATCCCAACAGTACTGCCGATTCATTGTTTAGGAAATGTAACAAATTGTCGCTTAAAATCAATTAATTTTAGTTTTTGTTTAAAATTACAATGCTTTATTTATAGATAGACAATTTTAGCAATTTAATTTTTGTCAAATATAATTAATTTATAAAAATATTACATTATAAATACTAAATACTTAAAACAATAGTACAGTAGTAACAGAATTATATTGTACATACAACAATAGTAGTAATTTATTAATTACATAATATTTAATTTATTATTCGTTTTTTAACATAATCTAAACTAAACTAATATTAATTCAACAAATATTATCATTTCTACCATATTTTCCGCTAATTTTGATCACAAATATCACATGTACTGTACATATATTGTATAAAAAAAGTTTAATTGAGTTTTATTTCATGTGATTTGTCGGAGAAAATCGTATGATTTTTATAATCGATGGCAACCGAGAGAGCAATAATTCAAGACATTATGTTTTTCAGTGCAAACAAACATATCTTAAAGTCATTGGAAAAAACTTTCATAAGAAGTACTAATAAAATATGTTTTAATTTCATTATAATATGAAAATTCAGTAAAAATAACAAACTTTCCATTAGTTCTAAGAAAACATACAAAAATAAAACCCAAAAAACCTAATTATTATAGAAAGTGAGAAAAAACATTTTGCAAACACATGTATGACATTCTGTGGGACAAAATTGACATTTTTATGCGGGTGCCATACATAACATTCCCCTCTTGCACACAGTAGTTATGTCATTGTAGATGATTATGGTTATTCTATGAGTACATACAACTCCTGGTCAGAAATACATCACTAAATCAGGCTTTTTGTGCTACTCTTTTGGAAAATCTATGGACAATAGTAGTGATCAATGCTATGGTATGAGAGGGGACAGGGAGGCAATGATGGGTGCAAAATATTTACGATCACTTTTGCTATCACATGTGTGTCTCAAATATTTTCCCAAAAAGTTCCCACAAAAGTTTGGTTCCAAATATGAGTTTAAGAAAAAAGTTGCCTAATATTTAAAGAGCTTAAAGTTTGTGTTAGAAATACAAGTTAGAATTTGCGCGAACATTGCAATTTCAACCCATATTAATAGATAATGTTATAAATGATGGTAAAATTAATGTGTTTGCTATTTGCAAAAAGCCTAATAAACGTGCACTTAATGCCTGTCGGTGTCTATATATTGCATCAGCAATACTGATGTAATCGCATGTTTGGGTTGTGATATGCGCTCAAGAGTTGTGTCTGTTTTCCCGCAACTGTTTGTATGCGTTGAACAGCAAATGCAAAGTCAGACCACTTCTCTATAGCAACGCATAGGACTACATAATACACACATAACCAGAGACTCCGCAATACTATGCAATGTATTGCATAGTAAACCAGTAATACATGCGGAGAGAGAGAGAGAGAGAGAGAGAGAGAGAGAGAGAGAGAGA